TCCAAAACCTCAGTTGCATGAGAAGCAAGCTAAGATAGAAAAAAAAGGATGGCAGAGTGACCTGGTTTTGAAGGATGCCATTCCACCAAAGATACATGTTTTTGTGGTCCTATGGGTCCCAGACACACTGGCTAATGGGTGCTGATGAAGATCAGACGGGCTGGCACACAACTGAGAAAGGGACAGAAATATTAAAAAGCCCTCCATCAGGAAATTAACAAACCTTTGAATTGGGGGTGTGTTTACATGTACTATGCTTGTTTTATTGTTTGGTTGTGTTTGGTTTTGGAGATGTTAAATGATTTCATTAAAACCATTACTGTTATTAACTATATTGATTTTCCTGGGAAACTAAAAGTCCACCTGCACGTATAAGACTATGGAAGTGCTCAGGAAAGGCCTGAGAATGCTCAAGGCTCTCACCTCACACCATACACAAAACTATAAATCTCTTAGAAGTTCATTTTTAGGTATATGGCCCATTTTGAGTTAATTTTTGTTTAAGGTGTGAGGCAGGGGTCCAAATTCACTTTTTGTATGTGGATATCCAATTGTCCCAACACCATTTATTGAAGAGACCATTACTTCCCCCACTGAACAGTCTCAGCACCTTGGTCAAAATTCAGCTGGCTACAGATATAATAGTTCATCTCTAGACTCTCAATTCTATTCCACTGAGTAATGTCTACCTTTGTGATAAATACCACACTATCTTGATTACTGAAGCTTTGTAGTAAGCTCTGAAATTTGGAAGTGTGAGTCTGCCAACATCTTTTTCAAGACAGTTTTGACTACCCTGGGTTTCTTGAATTTGCATATGAATTTTAGGATCAGCCTATTTCTGCAAAAATTCTATCTGGAGGTTAGATGGGAATTATGCTGACTTTGTTGATCAGTTTAAGTAGGTGTACATTCATCATATATGCTTGACTCTTACACCAGAGGCCCAGCCACAGTAAGTCCATCCAATGAAATCAAGTAATAATAATAATGGCTGAGACGGAGCACTCACCCTGGTATCAAGCCCTCAGCTAAACGCTTCACAGGGGCCATCTCATTGAACTCTTACAATTATTACTAATTTATTATTATTATTAACCTCATGCAACAGATGAGGAAATGGAGGTGCAAGAAAGTCAGATAAGTCACTCAAGGTAACAGTTGATAAGTGGCAGAGGCAGAGTTCAGACACATGCAGTCTAATTTCTGAGCCCCTGCCTTTCTCAATCCTGAATATACAAAGAGACCTTTCATACTCATTAGAAAGAAAAAAAAGACAAGCAACCTGGCAGGAAAATGGGGGAAGGATATGAACAGAAAATTCAAAGAGGAAAATGCAAATGGCAAAAAAATAGGATCTCTGTTGTCCATCATACTGGTAAAATGTTTTTAATTGGTAAAATCTGATGATGATGAAGGTCTGGGGAAAAAGGTACTCATAAGAGTATCAGTAAGAGTACGTGATGACACAATCATTTTGGAAACAATTTGTCAGCATCTATTAAAGTATAAAATACATATACCCTTTGGCCTTGTAGTTTCATTATACCTGAGAACAAAGGAAACAGACAAGAATATTCACTGAAATCCCATGTGTAACTGTGCAAAATAGAAACAAATCACATGTCTACCAGTAAGAAGTAACATCATTGGCCATGGCCGAAGCCATACCACTGGAATGCCAGCTTCATGAAGCAAACGTTTGTGTATGAGATATAAAATGTAGTATGCTGAATTGGTGGCCCTCAAAATATATAGCCAAGTACTAATCTTATGAATGTGACCTTACTTGGAAAAAAGGGTCTTTGCAGATGTAATTAAGTAAAGATCTTGGGATGAGATCATTCAAGATTATCCAGGTAGATTCTAAATTCAACAAAAAGTGTCCTTATAAAAGACTGAGGGAAAGACACACACATGAAGGAGAAGGGCAAGTGAAGATGGAGACAGAGATAGGAGCCATGCAGCTGCAAGCTGAAGACCACCTGGAGCCACCAGAAGCTAGGTTAGGCAAGGAAGCATTCTTCGCCTGGAGCCTTCAAGGAGGAGTATGTTCTGCTAACACTGTGATTTTGGATTTCTGGCCTCCAGAACTGGGAGTGAACAAATTTCTGTGGTTTTAAATCACCCAGTCTGTGGTACTTTGTTACAATAGCCTGTAGCAAAGGAAACTACCATCAGTTCAGTTCAGTTCAGTCGCTCAGTCGTGTCCAACTCTTTGCGACCCCATGAATCGCAGCACGCCAGGCCTCCCTGTCCATCACCAACTCCCGGAGTTTACTCAAACTCATGTCCATGGAGTCGGTGATGCCATCCAGCCATCTCATCCTCTGTCGTCCCCTTCTCCTCCTGCCCCCAATCCCTCCCAGCATCAGGGTCTTTTCCAATGAGTCAACTCTTCTCATGAGGTGGCCAAAGTATTGGAGTTTCAGCTTCAGCATCAGTCCTTCCAATGAACACCCAGGACTGATCTCCTTGCAGTCCAAGGGACTCTCAAGAGTCTTCTCCAACACCACAGTTCAGAAGCATCAATTCTTTGGCACTCAGCCTTCTTTACAGTCCAACTCTCATATCCATACATGACCACTGGAAAAACCATAGCCTTGACTAGACAGACCTTTGCTGGCAAAGTAATGTCTCTGCTTTTTAATATGCTGTCTAGGTTGGTCATAACATTCCTTCCAAGGAGTAAGCATCTTTTAATTTCATGGCTGCAGTCACCATCTGCAGTGATTTTGGAGCCCCCCAAAATAAAGTCTGACACTATTTCCCCATCTATTTGCCATGAAGTGATGGGACCGGATGCCATGATCTTAGTTTTTTGAATGTTGAGCTTTAAGCCAACTTTTTCACTTGCCTCTTTCACTTTCATCAAGAGGCTTTTTAGTTCTTCTTCACTTTCTGCCATAAGGGTGGTATCATCTGCATATCTGAAGTTGTTGATATTTCTCCCGGCTATCTTGATTCCAGCTTGTGCTTCTTCCAGCCCAGCATTTCTCACGATGTATTCTGCATAGAAGTTAAATAAGCAGGGTGACAATATACAGCCTTGACATACTCCTTTTCCTATTTGGAACCAGTCTGTTGTTCCATGTCCAGTTCTAACTGTTGCTTCCTGACCTGCGTATAGGTTCCATAAGAGGCAGGTCAGGTAGTCTGGTATTCCCATCTCTTTCAGAATTTTCCACAGTTTATTGTGATCTACACAGTCAAAGGCTTTGGCATAGTCAATAAAGCAGAAATAGATGTTTTTCTGGAACTCTCTTGCTTTGTCGATGATCCAGTGGAAGTTGGAAATTTGATCTCTGGTTCCTCTGCCTTTTCTAAAACCAGATTGAACATCTGGAACTTCATGGTTCCAGAGAGCTGAAGCCTGGCTTGGAGAATTTTGAGCATTACTTTACTGGCATGTGAGATGAGTGCAATTGTGTGGTAGTTTGAGCATTCTTTGCGATTGCCTTTCTTTGAGATTGGAATGAAACCTGACCTTTTCCAGTGCTGTGGCCACTGCTGAGTTTTACAAATTTGCTGGCATATTGAGTGCAGCACTTTCACAGCATCATCTTTCAGGATTTGAAATAGTTCAACTGGAATTCCATCACCTCCACTATAGAGAGCTATATTTACTCAGGTCTTCAACACATACTAATTTTTTTAAGTAGTGAAATATATACATATAACTGAAATGAAGAAGCCCTACATGTTATGTAAAACATAAAATACTGAACAACCTATGTGTATAGATATTCAAAACAGCAGAGAAAACTAGCTGGGACCAGCATATCCCAAATTGGCTTAGGCAGTTCCCTCTGGGGAATGGGAGCAGGTGTTACAGGATGAGGAGGGACCAACGGCAGTATCAGCTTTACTTTCTAAGTATTCATGCATGTTTAAAAGAATGGTTTACAGAACTGAAAGAGACACGTGCACCCCAATGTTCATCACAGCACTGTTTACAATAGCCCAGACATGGAAGCAACCTAGATGTCCATCAGCAGACGAATGGATAATAAAGCTGTGATACATATACACAATGGAATATTACTCAGCTATTAAAAAGAATGCATTTGAATCAGTTCTAATGAGGTAGATGAAACAGGAGCCTATTATACAGAGTGAAGTAAGTCAGAAAGAAAAATACCAATACAGTATATTAATGCATATATATGGAATTTAGAAAGATGGTAACAATGACCCTATATGTGAGGCAGCAAAAGAGAGACAGATGTAAAGAATAGACTTCTGAACTCTGGGAGAAGGCAAGGGTGGGATGATTTGAGAGAGTAGCGTTAAAACATGTATATTATCATATGTAAAATAGATCGCCAGTCCAGGTTTGATGCATGAGGCAGGGTGCTCAGGGCTGGTGCACTGGGATGACCCTGAGGGATGGGATCGGGAGGGAGGTGGGAGGGACAGCCAGGATGGGGAGCACATGTACACCCATGGCTGATTCATGTGAATGTATGGCAAAAACTACCAAAATACTGTAAAGTAATTAGCCTCCAATTAAAATAAATTTTAAAAAAGAAAAGTAAAAAAAAAAAAAAGAATGGTTTAACCTTGAAAGAAAAATTTAAAGAGAAATTGATGATAAAGCTTAGCATTTGAGAGGTTACATGTAGACACCACATAAAGAATAGTCATTATAAAAAGATCTAAAAGGAGAAACAAATCCCTTATTCACTTCAAGGTATCTTTTTCTGAGCTAGAAAAAGCTAGTCCTTGGAGGTCACTGCTGGGATGTCACACCAGCAAGGGCTATGACTTGAGTCAGAGAAAATCCTGGATCAGTTATTACACATTTTTGGTATTCTCCACAAAGGAAACAAAGGGTTTTAAATATCCAGATTTTCTTTTAAATAATTCAAATTATAATAACCATGTTATATTTGATTAAGTGAAACAGGCCACCTACTGTTTTCCTTGAATGTGTATTCTAAATGGGTAGTGCATAGTAAGCACTGTTATTGCATTTAATAGTCTGATTTACTACTCACGCTTTACTGAAGTAGTTCCTTCCACTGCATCCTCCAGACGGAAACCACCAGTGTCCCCAGATCCTGAAAATTAAAAAGAAAAAGAAGATTTTTAAATGTAACTCTTTTGGAAAGAAACAAAATAATACTAATATACTCTTGTAACTGTCACTTCCCTTTAGACAGTGTTATGAAGACAATGCCACAAAAGGAAATCAGTTGAAGCCACCCAAAGATACACTGAATTGATATCCCTCAACAAGCAATCTATTGATTCCAAAACAACAGCAAAAACAAAACAAAACCAAAAAAAACCAGTCCTCAGTCCACTAGAAGACTGAAGGTTCAAGTCAATGAAAAATGAAGTATTTAATATAATCTTATAGAAAAAAACTTCTTCATAGTATGACTTTTGATAATGAGCCAAGTTCTTTCACCCCACCCCAACTCTCATACAAAGGCTGCTCTGCATTTTGGCAACCTGGGACACGCTCCCCCCCACCAACCCCAGCACCTACACCTAGGCTACTATCTGACACATAACAAAAAAGGCCGTGCAGAAGAGTTTTTCACAAGACAATTTGTCCTCACAAGTGGACCCATCTGCCCAACCCTGATTGCTACTGAACTTGACAGCTTTCCTTCCCTCTAGGTAGGCATGTAGTTTCCCACAGGATATATACATTAAGTCTCAAGCAAACCACTTTGCACGTCTACTGAAACTAAACAAGTAAGTAAATGGACAGTAGATTATAGAAGCCAGGTTTCTCACTGCTGGAGAGGGAGGTTACAGATGAGAGAATTAGAAAGAGATCCATGTGACAGTTGACTAGAATTGGAGACATCAGTATGAATAATGTTTGGCTATATATATATGTGTGGTTATATATAGAAATATTCATAAACATGTGCATATACATGGGGTTAGTATTCAGATATACATCCCCTTGCTCTGTCAGATGAAAAGGTCTAGAAGCAACAACACTCAAGTAGCAATGAACACACCTGGCACCCAGATTTTGGTTTCTAAACACAATTCTCCAATAAAAGGAACCAGACCTCCTTGGAGACATAGCTGATTCTAGAATTGGGACAGGAAATATCTAGATAAGATCTGAGATTCTTCAGTGCTAGGAAGTACTTTTAAAAATATTTTATATTGGTGGGTGTATGTCAAAGGGGCACAGAACTGACAGAAAAGAGTTCTCAATGGCTAAAGTTGGAAAAATTCAAAGCAGCAAAATAAAGTGGTACTGGATTATGACCCTATGTATAAAATAAATATCCATGACTCTATGCTGATATAAATGACTGAGCAAAAACATAAAAACAGAAGTATTCAAGTTAATTTATGTAGACAATTCTCCTCTCCATAAGTGCTGACTCCCTTCCAAGATTATAGTATAAGGGGTGGGGAAGAGAAAAGTAACCTTACAGTGGAGAAACTGACATACACTACATCAGCCAGGCGATCAAGATGAAGATTAACAGTGATGAGTTATACTGATACTATATTCTCTGCTTTTTTTTTTTTTTTGGTCTTGCTGCACAGCATGTGGAGTCTTAGTTCCCTGACAAGGGATGGAACCCATATCCCCTGCAGTGGAAGTACAAAGTCTTAACCACTGGACCACCAGAAGTCCCAATACTATATTCCCTTGATACGATGAGAAGGGCACTAAACCTCTGTGGTCTTCCTTTCAAAGAAGGATAACTCCATAACCACAGTATAATCACAAGGAAAAGAGCAGAAAAACTCCAACTGAGGTGCATCCTACAAAATACTTGACTAATCAAGCGAAATCCTGGGCCGGATGAAGCACAAGCTGGAATCAAGTTTGCCAGGAGAAATATCAATAACTTCAAATATGCAGATGACATCACCCTCATGGCAGAAAGAGAAGAGGAACCAAAGAGCCTCTTGATAATAGTGAAAGAGAAGAGTGAAAAAGCTGGCTTAAAACTCAACATTCAAAAAACCAAGATCATGGCATCCAGTCCCATCACTTCATGGCAAATAGATGGGGAACTGATGGAAACACTGACAGTTTCATTTTCTTGGGCTCTAAAATCACTGCAGATAGTGACTGCAGCCATGAAATTAAAAGATGTTTGTTCCTTGGAAGAGAAGTTATAACCAACCTAGATGGCATATTAAAAAGCAGACACATGACTTTGCTGACAAAGGTCCTTTTAGTCAAAGGAAAAACTATGGTTTTTCCAGTAGACATATATGGGTGTGAGAGCTGGACCAGAAAGCTGAGGAGTAAAGAACTGATGCTTTTGAACTATGGTGTTGGAGAAGACTCTTGAGAGTCCATTGGACTGCAAGGAGATCAAACCAGCCAATCCTAAAGGAAATCAGTTCAGAATATGTTCATTGGAAGGACTGATGCTGAAAGTGAAGCTCTAATACTTTGGATTCATTTGATTCATTGGAAAAGACCCTGATGCTGGAAAAAATTGAAGGTGGGAGGAGAAGGGGACGACAGAGGATGAGATGGTTGGATGGCATCACCAATTCAATGGACATGAGTGTGAGCAAGATTCGGGAGTTGGTGATGGACAGGAAAGCCTGGTATGCTGCAGTTCATGGGGTCACAAAGAGTCGGACATGACTGAGCAACTGAACTGAACTGAATATTCCTCAAAACTTTCAAGGCTGTCAAAAACTAAGTTCGAGAAACTGGCACAGCTTGAAGAGCCAAAGGAGATGTAATGATGGAAATTCACGTGGTACCCTGGATCAGCTCCTAGGACAGAAAAAGGACTTTAAGTAAAAAACTAAGAAAATCTGAATAGAGTACAGACTTTAATGACAGTGTATCAATGTTGATTCATTAATTATGATACATGTACTGTACTAATACAAAATATTAATAACAAGGGAAGCTACCTAGGTGTAGAGCACACGGGAACTCTTTGTATCAGCTTTGCACTGTAAATCTAAAACTGTTCTAGAAAAAGTTTATTTTTAAATATCTATTTCCTAAAGCAAAATAATTAAGGTAACCACTAAAAAAGAGATATAGGATGTATAACCTCTAACTCATTCAAGAATGAAAAGAAAGGTCAATACCAACAATTAAAATTCAACAAAAGTCACCAAAAGGAAAAAACAAAAATATGTTAAATACAAAACATGGACTTTCCGTACTGTCTAACACAAGAATATGTATAACTATGCTAATAAAAAGTGAGTATAAATAGAGCAAATTTCCTATTGAAAGGTTGTCGCCATGAGCCATGAACGACATTGGGATTCTTGGCCTCCGGAGGAGAGGAATTTGATCTGGGGTCAGTGATGAGGCTTGATCCCTCAGGGCTTTTGTGCAGTAAAATTTCATTAAAGTATGAAAGAAATAGAGAAAGCTTCTGACATAGACATCAGAAGGGGGGAGAAAGATTGCCCCCTTACTAGTTTTTAGCAAGGAGCTATATACCTATTAGCAAATTATCTGCAGGCCACTGTCGACCCACACCTCCACTGGAGACTCCTAGACACTCACAGGCAAGTCTGGCTCCATCTCTTGTGGGGATACTGTTCCTTTCTCCTGGCTCCTGGTGACACAAGGTCTTGTTTGTGCCCTCCAAGAGCCTGCTTTCCCAGTCCTGTGGAAGTTCTCTTATCAAACCACACTGGCCTCCAAAGTCAAATTCCCAGGGGTTCACAGTCCCTTTGCTGGATCCCCAGTGGAATGGCAAACCACTTCAGTATTCTTGCCTTGAGAACCCCATGAACAGTATGAAAAGGCAAAAAGATAGGACACTGAAAGATGAACTCCCCAGGTTGGTAGGTGCCCAATATGGTACTGGAGAGGAGTGGAGAAATAAGTCCAGAAAGAATAAAGAGACAGAGCCAAAGTGAAAACAACACCCAGTTGAGGATGTGACTGGTAATGGAAGTAAAGTCTGATGCTGTAAAGAACAATATTGCATAGGAACCTGGAATGTTAGCTCCATGAATCAAGGCAAATTGGAAGTGGTCAAACAGGAGATGGCAAGAGTAAACATCGACAGTCTAGGAATCAGCAAACTAAAATGGACCGGAATGGGTGACTTTAATTCAGATAATCATTATACCTACTCCTGTGGGCAAGAATCCCTTAGAAGAAATGGCATAGCCCTCACAGTGAACAAGAGCCCGAAATGCAGTACTTGGGGGCAATCTCAAAAATGATAGAATGATCTCTGTTTATTTCCAAGGCAAACCATTCAGTATCACAGTAATCCAAGTCTATGCCCTGCCCAGTAATGCTGAAGAAGCTGATGCTGAACGGTTCTATGATGTCCTACAAGACCTTCTAGAACTAACACTAAAAAAAGATGTCCTTTCCGTCATAGGAGACTGTAATGCAAAAGCAGGAAGTTTGGCCTTGGAGTACAAAATAAAGCAGGGCAAAGGCTAACAGAGTTTTGCCAACAGAATGCACTGTTCATAGCAAACACCCTCTTCCAACAACACAATAGATGACTATACACATAGACATCATCAGATGGTCAATACTGAAATCAGATTGATTATATTCTTTGCAGCCGAAGATGGAGAAGCTCTATACAATCAGCAAAAACAAGACCAGGAGCTGACTGTGGCTCAGATCATCAGCTCCTTATTGCAAAATTCAGACTACAATTGAAGAAAGTAGGNAAGGTCAGTTTTCATTCCAATCCCAAAGAAAGTCAATGCCAAAGAATGTTCAAACTACTGCACAATTGCACCCATCTCACATGCTAACAAATACTCAAAATTCTCCAAGCAAGACTTCAACAGTATATGGAGAATTTCCAGATGTTCAAGCTGGATTTAGAAAAGGCAGAAGAACAAGAGATCAAATTGCCAACATCCGTTGGATAATTGAAAAAGCAAGAGAGTTCCAGAAAAATATCTACTTCTGCTTTATTGACTGCCAAAGCCTTTGACTGCGTGGATCACAAACAACTGTGGAAAATTCTTCAAGAGATGGGAATACCAGACCACCTGACCTGCCTCTTGAGAAATCTGTATGCAGATCAGGAAGCAACAGTTAGAACTGGACATGGAACAATGGACTGGTTCCAAATCGGGAAAGGAGTACGTCAAGGCT